AGCTTTTTCAAACATTGTTGATTTAAAACATATTTTAAACAAGTTTTTACTCTTCAAAACAAAAAGCTTTTAAATTATTAATATCTGTTACACTAAAAGCTTTTTCAATCTTTATACCTTTACTAAAAAGCTTTTTCGATCTTCTGTTAGAAATGCTTTCAAATGAATTTGTTTAATTTTTTTTTTAAGATAGCTTTCTATACAGAAAAGCTTTCACAAAAAGTGTTCATATTAAAAAGTCAAAAAGCTTTTATGCAAATACTCCTATACTTTTAACAAAATTTAAAGAAGTTTATAAAAAGATTTAAAATATATTTTAAACAGCTTTTTAGAGCTTTCTCTTAAAAAAAGTATATTTAAATACTTTCCAAGCTAGCGTTTTTTGATATAGTTGAATGTGAAATCGAGTCATTTATGACTCTTTTGCACGATAAAAATGATTTTATATGCCCTTATTTTTGATCATAAAAGATACTTTCATCGGTTGAAAATGATACACATAGAAGAGACTTTTATGAGCCTCTCTTCTGATCATTTTTGAGTCTTTTTGAGTCATTAATCAGTCGAATTAGTGTTCGTTTTAGAGTAATTTTCGAATCATAATTTAGTAATGTTTATGTCTTTCTGAGTTATTTTTAGGTCAGTTCTAGTCAACGACAGTAATACAAAGCTTTGTTTCTGAAAAAGCTCCCTAAAGTAGAAAGCTTTCAAATAAGAAATGTACTAAAAGCTTTTCAAAGCTTTCCTTCAGAAAACGCCTTCTTAAACATAATGCTTTTAAATAAGAAATGTACTAATTTATCATTTTAAAAATCTGTCTATCTTAATAACAAAATACTTTTAACTTTAAAGCTAGTTTGAAGCTACTAGACTACTAAACAAGTACATATGTTTTCATTGTTCTAATTCAAATATACGAAATATTTTAAAACCAGTTAATTTAATTAACTATTTTTTATAGATTATTGAATGTTGACTGATGAAATATAAATGAATGCAATGAACTTATAAATATAATTTATGTCTAATTATTTAGTCTACTATAGTAAACAGGAAATTGAAATATTTTAAATTAATTTTTAATACTTTTTTAAAATTTAGGTGAAAGAACTTCTACAATCTTAGAGATGACTTTGTATTTGATAAAGTATAAATAAAGAGAATACCTAAAACTAGATCAATAGATTCATGGCAATAATCTGATAAGACACTAATTGTTAGAATTGTTAATCAAGTGTATAAATATACAAAGAACTAATACGTATCTTTAATATAATAATTATATGTTAACAACAATTGCTCACTTAACAATTTCATAAATATCTAAGTACAATTTTCTAAACTGGTTTAAATTTTATCAACAAAATAATAATAATATTCACTAACCCCTTCGGGACCAGAGCGATAATGTGCATGAATGTATAGAATGCAGCTGCATTAGTGGGATTCATAAGTTAGTTAGTTAGTTAGTTACTTAGTTAGTTAGTAGTTAGTAGTTAGTTAGTTAGTTAGTTAGTAGTTAGTTAGTAGTTAGTTAGTTAGTAGTTAGTTAGTTAGTTAGTTAGTTAGTAGTTAGTTAGTTAGTAGTAGTTAGTGTAGTTAGTTAGGTCGTTATAGTTAGTAGTAGTTAGTTAGTTAGTTGAGTTAGTTAGTTAGTAGTTAAGTAGTTAGTTAGTTAGTTAGTAGTTAGTTAGTTAGTTAGTTAGTTAGTTGTAGTTAGTTAGTAGTTAGTTAGTTAGTTAGTTAGTTAGTTAGTTAGTTAGTTAGTTAGTTAGTTAGTTAGTTAGTTAGGTAGTTAGGTTAGTTAGTTAGTTAGTTAGTTAGTTAGTTAGTTAGTTAGTAGTAGTTAGTTAGTTAGTTAGTTAGTTAGTTAGTAGTTAGTTAGTAGTTAGTAGTTAGTTAGTTAGTTAGTAGTTAGTTAGTTAGTTAGTTAGTTAGTAGTAGTTAGTTAGTTAGTTAGTTAGTTAGTTAGTTAGTTAGTTAGTTAGTTAGTTAGTTAGGTAGTTAGTTAGTTAGTTAGTTAGTTAGTTAGTTAGTTAGTTAGTTAGTTAGTTAGTTAGTTAGTAGTTAGTAGTAGTTAGTAGTTTAGTTAGTTAGTTAGTTAGTTAGTTAGTTAGTAGTTAGTTGTAGTTAGTTAGTTAGTTAGTTAGTTAGTTTAGAGTTAGTTAGTTAGTTAGTTAGTTAGTTAGTTAGTAGTTAGTTAGTTAGTTGATTAGTTAGTTTAGTTAGTTAGTTAGTTAGTTAGTTAGTTAGTTAGTTAGTTACTTAGTTAGTTAGTTAGTTAGTTAGTTAGTTAGTTAGTTAGTGTAGTTAGTTAGTTAGTTAGTTAGTTAGTTACTTAGTTAGTTAGTTAGTTAGTTAGTTAGTACTTAGTTAGTTAGTTACTTAGTTAGTTAGTTACTTAGTTAGTTAGTTACTTAGTTACTTAGTTAGTTAGTTAGTAGTTAGTTAGTTAGTAGTTAGTTAGTAGTTAGTTAGTTAGTTAGTTAGTAGTTAGTTAGTTAGTTAGTTAGTTAGTTAGTTAGTAGTTAGTTAGTTAGTTAGTAGTTAGTTCGTTAGTTAGTTAGTTAGTTAGTTAGTTAGTTAGTGGTTAGTAGTAGTTAGTAGTTAGTTAGTTAGTTAGTTAGTTAGTTAGTTAGTTAGTAGTTAGTTAGTAGTAGTTAGTTAGTAGTTAGTTAGTTAGTAGTAGTTAGTTAGTTAGTTAGTCGTTTAGTTAGTAGTTAGTTAGTTAGTTAGTTAGTTGTTAGTTAGTTAGTTAGTTAGTTAGTTAGTAGTTAGTTAGTTAGTTAGTTAGTTAGTAGTTAGTAGGTAGTTAGTTAGTTAGTAGTTATTAGTTAGTTAGTTAGTTAGTTAGTTAGTTAGTTAGTCGTTAGTTAGTTAGTAGTTAGTTAGTTAGTTAGTTAGTTAGTTAGTTAGTTAGTAGTAGTTAGTAGTTAGTTAGTGTAGTTAGTTAGTTAGTTAGTTAGTTAGTTAGTGTTAGTTAGTTAGTTAGTTAGTTCGTTAGATTAGTATAGTTCGTTAGTTAGTTAGTTAGTTCGTTGAGTTAGTTTAGTATTAGTGTAGTTAGTTAGTTAGTTAGCTAGTAGTTTAGTTAGTTAGTTAAGTCGTTAGTTAGTGTGTTAGTTAGTTAGTTAGGTAGTTAGTTAGTTTAGTTGAGTTAGTTAGTAGTTGTTAGTTCGTAGTTAGTTAGTTAGTTAGTTAGTTAGTTAGTTCGTTAGTTAGTTAGTAGTAGTTAGTTAGTAGTTAGTTTGGTAGTTAGTTTAGTTGTTAGTTAGTTAGTTAGTTAGTTAGTTAGTTAGTTGTTAGTTAGTAGTAGTTAGTTAGTTAGTTAGTTAGTTAGTTAGTTAGTTCGTTAGTTAGTTAGTTAGTTAGTTAGTAGTTAGTTAGTTAGTTAGTTAGTTAGTTAGTTAGTTAGTTAGTTAGTAGTTAGTTAGTTAGTTTAGTGTTAGTTAGTTAGTTAGTATTAGTTAGTTAGTTAGTTAGTAGGTTAGTAGTAGTTAGTTAGTAGTAGTTAGTTAGTTAGTTAGTTAGTTAGTTAGTTAGTTAGTTAGTTAGTTAGTAGTAGTTAGTTAGTTAGTTATAGTTAGTTAGTTAGTTAGTTAGTAGTGCATATACAACAATACTTCAACAGAAGTACATCTGGTCCTCGGGCCTGTTGTGCGCTCTTTTACCTTAGGTGGGAATCAAACCTACCAACTCCGGTCTACCAGACTGGTATGCTAATCATTAACCTACCAGAGGCCACCTTAAAATCGCTAAAAAAAATCGGCCAAATATGAATGCTTGCTCTCATATACATATATCACAAACTGAAAACTCTACTACCTCCTCAACAAGGTGTAGTCGAACGACTTTATAATATAATTTAAATAACAATACAATTTATATACATTTCTATAATTTTTATTGAAGAATTATTAATTTAACCGTGTATATAAGCAAATATTTTAAATATTATCAACTAAATATTAAACTGGATTTTATATGAAAAAGATTTCAAAAAGAACGGCTCAAATGAAATGCAACCCTCTGGCGAACAACATGTACGATCCTTAATAAGATCAACAGAAAATTTACGAATGCCTGATCAAGAAGATGGAGCTATAATGGCAGGTGATATACCACAAAAACTAGAGAATGGCAATGCTAATGGTTTATGGATTATGAGGAAATTTTGGAAATACTAGGTAAGCTAAATATATCCAATTTCTGGAAATTATAAATATAAAATTTTGCTAAAATTTTAAGGTTTTGGAAAAACGCAATGGATTTTATTGCTGGTCAGTGGCTTATTGACCATGACTTCTATGTCTGCTGTTTTATCGGTTGGTATAATAGGCATTGCCTCACAGTGTGAATTTGATATAACACAAAAAGAAAGGGGTATAATGATGGCGTCTTGTGTGACGGGTAAGTAGAGTGCATGGATCAATAAATATTTCACATAGCAATAGAAATTTTTTATAAAAAAGTGAAATTTCTGTATAATTTTGTATAAAAAGTAAAATTTCTTAAAAATTTTGTATAAAAAGTGAAATTTTTGAAAAAATTTTTTGGTTTCCCACAAGGGTATGCCAGTGGAAGATGCGATTCGTGGTTCGAATTGGGATTTGCTCGCCACTGGGAAGCTACAACAAGGCTTAAGCAGACATAGCGCTTAATTAAGCTATCTTTGGGAAAATCTTAAAAGCTGTTATCTTAACAAAAACAATCTAAGAATACTAACTATATAATTTTCTATTTTCATAGAAAATTTTCGAAATTTTCTATTTTTATAGAAAATTTTCGAAATTCTCTATTTTTATAGAAAATTTTCGAAATTCTCTATTTTTATAGAAAATTTTCGAAATTCTCTATTTTTATAGAAAATTTTCGAAATTCTCTATTTTTATAGAAAATTTTCGAAAATTTTCTCTATTTTTATAGAAAATTTTCGAAATTCTCTATTTTTATAGAAAATTTTCGAAATTCTCTATTTTTATAGAAAATTTTCGAAATTCTCTATTTTTATAGAAAATTTTCGAAATTCTCTCTTTTTTTAGAGAAAATTTTCGAAATTCTCTCTTTTTTTAGAGAAAATTTTCGAAATTCTCTCTTTTTTTAGAGAAAATTTTCGAAATTCTCTCTTTTTTTAGAGAAATTTTCGAAATTCTCTCTTTTTTTAGAGAAAATTTTCGAAATTCTCTCTTTTTTAGAGAAAATTTTCGAAATTCTCTATTTTTATAGAAAATTTTCGAAATTCTCTATTTTTATAGAAAATTTTCGAAATTCTCTATTTTTATAGAAAATTTTCGAAATTCTCTATTTTTATAGAAAATTTTCGAAATTCTCTATTTTTATAGAAAATTTTCGAAATTCTCTATTTTTATAGAAAATTTTCGAAATTCTCTATTTTTATAGAAAATTTTCGAAATTCTCTATTTTATAGAAAATTTTCGAAATTCTCTATTTTTATAGAAAATTTTCGAAATTCTCTATTTTTATAGAAAATTTTCGAAATTCTCTCTTTTTATAGAAAATTTTCGAAATTCTCTCTTTTTATAGAAAATTTTCGAAATTCTCTCTTTTTATAGAAAATTTTCGAAATTCTCTCTTTTTATAGAAAATTTTCGAAATTCTCTCTTTTATAGAAAATTTTCGAAATTCTCTCTTTTTAGAGAAAATTTTTGAAATTCTCTCTTTTTTTAGAGAAAATTTTTGAAATTCTCTCTTTTTTTAGAGAAAATTTTTAAAATTCTCTCTTTTAGAGAAAATTTTTGAAATTCTCTCTTTTTAGAGAAAATTTTTGAAATTCTCTCTTTTTAGGGAAAATTTTTGAAATTCTCTCTTATTAGAGAAAATTTTTGAAATTCTCTCTTATTAGAGAAAATTTTTGAAATTCTCTCTTTTTATAGAAAATTTTCGAAATTCTCTTTTTTTATAGAAAATTTTCGAAATTCTCTATTTCTATAGATAATTTTCGAAATTCTCTATTTCCATAGATAATTTTCGAAATTCTCTATTTCCATAGAAAATTTTCGAAATTCTCTATTTCTATAGATAATTTTCGAAATTCTCTATTTCCATAGAAAATTTTCGAAATTCTCTATTTCTATAGATAATTTTCGAAATTCTCTATTTCCATAGAAAATTTTCGAAATTCTCTATTTCCATAGAAAATTTTCGAAATTCTCTATTTCTATAGATAATTTCCGAAATTCTCTATTTCTATAGAAAATTTTCGAAATTCTGTATTTCTATAGAAAATTTTCGAAATTCTCTACTTCTATAGAAAATTTTCGAAATTCTCTACTTCTATAGAAAATTTTCGAAATTCTCTATTTCTATAGAAAATTTTCGAAATTCTCTATTTCTATAGAAAATTTTCGAAATTCTCTATTTCTATAGAAAATTTTCGAAATTCTCTATTTCTATAGAAAATTTTCGAAATTCTCTATTTCTATAGAAAATTTTCGAAATTCTCTATTTCTATAGAAAATTTTCGAAATTCTCTATTTCTATAGAAAATTTTCGAAATTCTCTACTTCTATAGAAAATTTTCAAAATTCTCTACTTCTATAGAAAATTTTCGAAATTCTCTATTTCTATAGAAAATTTTCGAAATTCTCTATTTTTACAGAAATTGTTCAAAATTCTCTATTTTTATAGAAATTGTTCAAAATTCTCTAAAATTTTCGAAATTCTCTCTTCTCGAAATTATCTTTCGAAAATTATCGAAAAAAGTCGAGAGTTTCGAAATGTTTTTATAAAAGATTTTAAATATTTGTTTGTTACAGGTGTGGTTATCTCAACCTATTTTTGGGGCTGTATGAGTGATGTTTGGGGTAGACGCACGGTTTTATTATGGTCCATGTTTGTTTCAAACTTCCTGCAATTCGTAATAATGTTTGTAACCAATATTTGGTTATACAATATTATAAATCTTGTAATGGGAATCAGGTAACTTACATAATATATGAAATAGATTAAACAAACTTCTAAGTTACTCAGTCCAATTTCTTCCTTACAGTTTAGGTGGTATATTAGGTGCCATGTATCCGTATCTTAGTGAGTTCAATACGGCTAGATATCGTGCTATAGTTATAAATTATTCTACTATGTTTGTTAGTGTAACAGTTATGTTTGTGCCAGGTAATTTGGCGAACAATGACAACATACATGGATAAATAATAATATAATCTATTTATTCTGAACACAGCCATTTCCTGGTTGGTGCTGTCCTACAATTGGTCCTTTGAAATATCTGATTCATTTACCTTCAAACCCTGGCGTTTGATTATATTGTTAAGTATGCTGCCTGGTTTTATTGGTGCTTTAATATTGTTACCCTTTCCTGAAAGTCCAAAACTTTTATTGGCCCATGACAAACAAGATGAAGCTTTAAAAGCTCTCTATTGGATTTCGAAATTTAATACTGGCAAAAGTTTAGAGGTTATGCTAAAGACTACGAAAATTTATTTAAAAACAGAAGAGTTAGCAGATGCTGATTTGCTAACAATGGGTTCGGGTTTCTCTGTTATCACGAAAATATGGAAAGCTACAGTACCACTGTTCCATAAACCTCATGGCACGAATGTTATCTTAGCTGTTATAGCTTTTCTGGGCATAATGTTTTGTTCCAGTGGTATGCAGGTATGGTTTCCCGAAATAGTTAATCGTTCAGTTGGTGGTTCAGTATGGGGTAATAGCACAACATTGTGTGAAATTTTAGATGAATCCTATAGACGTGATCGTTTGAATGTAACAAATGAAGAGGGTGATATAAGTCTAGTAAGTTTTTAAATTACAATTATAGAAAGCTTTATATAAATAATGAACTTTTAAAAGGTTTGTGATGATACCATTTCCCCTAAAACCTATATCAATAACATGATCATGGGTTTAGCCTTTCTGGTGGGATTTTCCGTACAGGGTATGCTATTAAGACCTTTGGGTAGAAAAAATGTTTTAATTGGCGGCATACTGATAGGAGCTTTATGTGGCATATTATTTAATATCATCACTAACACAACGGGTATTTTGATATTACTTTGTTTGTGTATCTTGTTACCGGGCCTGGGGGTTTCGGTTATGTGTGGCATCATAGTGGATTTAGTGCCCACACATTTTAGGTAAGTTTTAAGTGAAATTGCAACTAAAAGTCGTATTTCTAAAATTTTAACTTTATTTACAGAGGAAAAGCCGTCAGTTTGGGTTTTACCTTGGGCCGCATCGGCACTATAGTGGCCACAAATTTATTTGCCGCTATGTTACAGCCATATTGTGCGGGCATTTTTGGCATAATTACTTGTGTACTTTTTGGTGAGTGTTCTTTTCAGTACAGAGACCACTTAATATTTGAAAAATATACTAAATTTGTCCTTCTTTACAGTTTGTGCTGGCATCGTTTATTATTTGCCGATTTAGTATAAAAACAATTTTTTACAAATTAAAATTAAGTAGTTTGTAGTTGTTAAATATATAAGATAAACTAATAAATAAGTTATAAATTACTAAAATTTTTGAAATTATCCATAAATGAGGAAAAAATGTCTAGTTTTTCAAAATTGTTCCATAATTTTCAAATTATTCAAAAATTTTTATTCGAAAATTTTTTTTCGAAAATTAAATTTTTTCTTTAAACAATTACTATTTGTAATTGAAGTAGGACTTAACTAGAACTGAACTAGAATTGAACTAGAATTGAACTAGAACTGAACTAGAACTGAACTAGAACTGAACTAGAACTGAACTAGAACTGAACTAGAACTGAACTAGAACTGAACTAGAACTGAACTAGAACTGAACTAGAACTGAACTAGAACTGAACTAGAACTGAACTAGAACTGAACTAGAACTGAACTAGAACTGAACTAGAACTGAACTAGAACTGAACTAGAACTGAACTAGAACTGAACTAGAACTGAACTAGAACTGAACTAGAACTGAACTAGAACTGAACTAGAACTGAACTAGAACTGAACTAGAACTGAACTAGAACTGAACTAGAACTGAACTATGAACTGAACTAGAACTGAACTAGAACTGAACTAGAACTGAACTAGAACTGAACTAGAACTGAACTAGAACTGAACTAGAACTGAACTAGAACTGAACTAGAACTGAACTAGAACTGAACTATGAACTAGAACTGAACTAGAACTGAACTAGAACTGACTACTAGAATTGAACTAGAACTGAACTAGAACTGAACTAGAACTGAACTAGAACTGAACTAGAACTGAACTAGAACTAAAATAGAACTGAACTAGAACTGAACTAGAACTGAACTAGACTGAACTAGGACTGAAATAGGACTGAACTAGAACTGAACTAAAACTGAACTAGAACCGAACTAGAACTGAACTAGAACTGAACTAGAACTAAACTAGAACTGAACTAGAACTGAACTAGAACTGAACTAGAACTGAACTAGAACTGAACTAGAACTGAACTAGAACTGAACTAGAACTGAACTAGAACTGAACTAGAACTGAACTAGAACTGAACTAGAACTGAACTAGAACTGAACTAGACTGAACTAGAACTGAACTAGAACTGAACTAGAACTGAACTAGAACTGAACTAGAACTGAACTAGAACTGAACTAGAACTGAACTAGAACTGAACTAGAACTGAACTAGGACTGAACTAGGACTGAACTAGAACGGAACTAGAACTGAACTAGAACTGAACTAGAACTGAACTAGAACTGAACTAGAACCGAACTAGAACTGAACTAGAACTGAACTAGAACTGAACTAGAACTGAACTAGAACTGAACTAGAACTGAACTAGAACTGAACTAGAACTGAATTAGAACTGAACTAGAACTGAACTAGAACTGAACTGGAAATGAACTAGAACTGAACTAGAACTGAACTAGAACTGAACTAGAACTGAACTAGAACTGAACTAGAACTGAACTAGAACTGAACTAGAACTGAACTAGAACTGAACTAGAACTGAACTAGAACTGAACTAGAACTGAACTAGAACTGAACTAGAACTGAACTAGAACTGAACTAGAACTGAACTAGAACTGAACTAGAACTGAACTAGAACTGAACTAGAACTGAACTAGAACTGAACTAGAACTGAACTAGAACTGAACTAGAACTGAACTAGAACTGAACTAGAACTGAACTAGAACTGAACTAGAACGGAACTAGAACTGAACTAGAACTAAAATAGAACTGAACTAGAAACTGAACTAGAACTGAACTAGGACTGAACTAGAACTGAACTAAAACTGAACTAGAACCGAACTAGAACTGAACTAGAACTGAACTAGAACTAAACTAGAACTGAACTAGAACTGAACTAGAACTGAACTAGAACTGAACTAGAACTGAACTAGAACTGAACTAGAACTGAACTAGAACAGAACTAGAACTGAACTAGAACTGAACTAGAACTGAACTAGAACTGAACTAGAACTGAACTAGAACTGAACTAGAACTGAACTAGAACTGAACTAGAACTGAACTAGAACTGAACTAGAACTGAACTAGAACTGAACTAGAACTGAACTAGAACTGAACTAGAACTGAACTAGAACTGAACTACAACTGAACTATAACTGAACTAGAACTGAACTAGAACTGAACTAGAACTGAACTAGAACTGAACTAGAACTAAATAGAACTGAACTAGAACTGAACTAAGAACTGAACTTAGGACTGAAATAGGACTGAACTAGAACGAACTAAAACGAACTAGAACCGAACTAGAACTGAACTAGAACTGAACTAGAACTAAACTAGAATGAACTAGAACTGAACTAGAACTGAACTAGAACTGAACTAGAACTGAACTAGAACTGAACTAGAACTGAACTAGAACTGAACTAGAACTAACTAGAAACTGAACTAGAACTGACTAGAACTGAACTAGAACTGAACTAGAACTGAACTAGAACTGAACTAGAACTGAACTAGAACTGAAACTAGAACTGAACTAGAACTGAACTAGGACTGAACTAGGACTGAACTAGAACGGAACTAGAACTGAACTAGAACTGAACTAGAACTGAATCTAGAACTGAACTAGAAACCCGAACTAGAACTGAAACTAGAACTGAACTAGAACTGAACTAGAACTGAACTAGAACTGAACTAGAACTGAACTAGAACTGAACTAGAACTAACTAGAACTGAATTAGAACTGAATTAGAACTGAATTAGAACTGAACTAGAACTGACTAGAACTGAACTGGAAATGAACTAGAACTGAACTAGAACTGAACTAGAACTGAAACTAGAACTGAACTAGAACTGAACTAGAACTGAACTAGAACTAGAACTGAACTAGAACTGAACTAGAACTGAACTAGAACTGAACTAGAACTGAACTAGAACTAACTAGAACTGAACTAGAAACGAACTAGAACTGAACTGAACTAGAACTGAACTAGAACTGAACTAGAACTGAACTAGAACTGAACTAGAACTGAACTAGAACTGAACTAGAACTGAACTAGAACTGAACTAGAAACTGAACTAGAACTGAACTAGAACTGACTAGAACTGAACTAGAACTGAACTAGAACTGAACTAGAACTGAACTAGAACTGAACTAGAACTGAACTAGAACTGAACTAGAAACTGAACTAGAACTGAACTAGAACTGAACTAACTGAACTAGAACTGAACTAGAACTGAACTAGAACTGAACTAGAAACTGAACTAGAACTGAACTAGAACTGAACTAGAACTGAACTAGAACTGAACTAGAACTGAACTAGAACTGAACTAGAACTGAACTAGAACTGAACTAGAACTGAACTAGAACTGAACTAGAACTGAACTAGAACTGAACTAGAACTGAACTAGAACTGAAGTAGAACTGAACTAGAACTGAACTAGAACTGACTAGAACTGAACTAGAACTGAACTAGAACTGAACTAGAACTGAACTAGAACTGAACTAGAACTGAACTAGAACTGAACTAGAACTGAACTAGAACTGAACTAGAACTGAACTAGAACTGAACTAGAACTGAACTATAACTAGAACTGAACCTTTTTAATAAAACAACTAGATTATAATTTTCAGTATGTTTTCAAATATATTAAGTTTCCAGACAAATATCATGTTTATCCACGCATAACACGGCGACGATTGCGGCGGGCTTTACGTTGCTTACGATTGCGGCGACGGATTTTACGATTTCTGCGTGCTTTACGTTTCTTCTGCTCAGGGCGTAGCATCTGGATCAGGTGATGAAGTGGTTGGCGGTGATGTATCGGTGGGTGGTTCAAGAGTTTCCGTGGTTGGTGAAGTACCTGTGTCGAGGTAGTGGGTAATCCAGTAGCTGTGGTAGTAGGAATTGGAGGAGTTGGTGGCAATGTTGGAGTTGGTATAATATCAGTGGGAATAAGTGTTGTCGTTGTAGTAGGGATAGGTTCTGGTGGTGGACAGAATTGAGTTTTGCCCATTGCACACAATTTTTCCTTAAAACCGCCGCCGCTTCGGGTACTATTGCCGGATGCCTTTGAGGCATTTACGCCGAATGTTGAACCCAAAAGGGCCAAAGAAATAAGATATAATGAAAATTTCATTTTTAGCTACTTCAATTGATTTGTAAAGAACAATTTGAAGTGATGCAATTTTCGACATTTTCAAAACTATTTATAGTAAAATTAAAGATGTTTTAAAATGCTGTAAAATAGTAGAGACCAATTGTACAAATAAGACAATGTGTAAGTAAATCAACAAGAAGTTCTTAGAGTGAAAAACAGATATTTCACGAAATAGTGTAGTACTTAAGTTAGTTAAATATCTGTTCTTTTGTTTTGAAGATGATGTTATTGGTTTAAGTGTGACCTACTTAAGGTAATGTTACAATATTGAAATTTTCATTCAGAAATATTTTTTGAAAATTAATGTTTCTAATTTTGAAAATGTTATAACATTATAAAATTAAAGTAAATGTTATAACATTATAAAATTAAAGTAAATGTTATAACATTATAAAATTAAAGTAAAGTTAAATCCATTAAACAAATCGGAGAACTGTATAAGTGATTTCCTAATGTGAACTTATATTATGAGATGTGATTAAACGACTATGCAACTTTAGCTAACAACTTTTGAAAACTCAAACTTATTAGAAATCATTAACCTATTTTAATTATTTTAAATCTAGTATTATCAACAAGTAAAAAAAGTTTAAGAAAACCTTCTATAAAAGCAAAATTTTTTATTCTTTTACATATGTAGTTGTTCGTAAATGTCGAGTTTTTCGAACATGTCCGATAAAATTTAGATTATTACAAAAATTTTTAATTCACAAATTGAATTTAAAACTCTATTTTCCATTAGAACTAAACTAGAACAGAACAAGAACTGATCTAGAACAGAACTAGAACTGATCTAGAACTGAACTAGAACTGAACTGGAACTGAACTAGAACTAAACTAGAACTGAACTAGAACTGAATTAGAACTGAACTAGAACTGAACTAGAACTGAACTAGAACTGAACTAGAACTGAACTAGAACTGAACTA